TACAAATATACCCCAGCGACTTAAGACTGGTTTTGTGCTCCAGGGTCACATGTCTGCTCTATTAAAATATACTGTAAAGAGCTTTTCTCACACTACTTAGCTTTTTCTTTACCAAGACAATATCTTGTAGTTGAATGAATGTTCTATCTGTGTCCACAGGCCAAGGCAGAAGGTGACGAAGAGGCGATGTTTATTGATGAGACCTTCTGCACTGCCTTAGAGTACGGACTTCCACCCACGGCAGGATGGGGCATGGGCATCGACCGCCTCACCATGTTCCTCACAGACTCCAACAACATCAAGGTACGACCCACCATGGCCCTTTTTTTTTTTAGGACTATGAAAAATGTGTGAACCACTGCTTGTATATTAATCAACCAGTGCAATTGGATTGTTTTTAATATAAGAAGTTCTATTTATAGCAAATATAAAAGACCTTTCACACCAAAAAGTGTAATGAATAAACCTCAGGCTGAAGCAAAAGTAAATTCACGTCTGTACAGTAGAACGCAGGAGAAGAAACACTCTTCAGCAATAAAAAAACAAAGCACAATTGTTAGTTTCTCTAAAGTCATTTTTGCTGCTTAGTACGGTTGAACTGGATCATCAAAGGTCAGCAGCAAAGACATTGGTTAATAAAATGGGATTAGATACAATTTTGTAATTTAACATTTAATTATTGCAGGTTTGCGTCATATTCTGAGTTTGCATTTCACTGTTTTAATTCATTTTGATGAATACTAAATCTGTTTTTTTGTGAGTGGGATGAATTAATGCACATTCACATTTAGTCTAGAACTACAGTAACATCATGTTCACAACAGCGCACACAACTCTGTACTTCTGATTTCTCCCAATATGAGGACAGGAGACTTGTCAGTCAATAAATGGGAAAAAGTAACTCAAGATATTTTCTTGTAAATTAAAAAAGTAATGCGTTACTTGAAAAAAGTAATCTGATTACGTAACTCGCATTACTTGTAATGAGTTACCCCCAACACTGTTCATATGACATTTTCTGACACGAGTGGCTCCAACAAGTATAGGTTAGATAAAAAAAAAATCTAAATTATTTTATAGAGAGAGAGTGTGCAAGATTTAACAGATACCAACATTACACTGAAATACTGACACTTCTGTTTGTCAAACGTTTGTGCGACATAATGTGATTAATTACACCTGTGTGAAAAAAATCACTAGTTGATTAGTAATTGGTCAAATGTTAAAGTTCATTTAGTTGTAAGAAAAATCTAGCATTCTTAAAGGGGTCATATGATGCTGCTAAAAAAACATTGTTTTGTGTATTTGCAGCGAGAATAAAAGTTACGCCTTCTTTCTTTGCGTGAACATTTGGGCGGCGTTATGGAAATCTTCCCACATCGTGACGTAGACATGTGGGGGCGTGTTCGAACGAGCCGTTTTAGGTAGGCGTGATTAACCCTTAACTTTTATAAAGAATATCTCTTTGGATTTGAGACTTTAGTCTTTGCAACTTTACAGATCTGCGTTATGCACCAAGAGCTTGTAACACTCCAAAGAGAAAGGAAACATTGAAATCGCATAATATGACCCCTTTAAACTTTGTTTAGACCTGCGATCCAAATCCGGTGCATATCCGATTGGAATCGGATCATATTTAGCAAGTGTGAACGGCAAAAATCCCATGAAATACGACTCGAGCTACATCCATATGTTGTATGAAACCCTGTTTATTATTGTTGTTGTTATGTATGGCTTAAAATCCGTATATTTTTGGGACCACTGTGAGGAAACTTTCTTTGCATTTTCCTAATTCTCGAAACCAAGTGGTTTCTGCTCGTTACGCCACACACATCTTTTGCTTTGATCATGTTTGGACTTTGTATAATCGGGCGTATAGTCTGTGGCAATGTTCTTGTCGTTGTCGAGATGTTTAATCTCCTCAGTCAGACTTCTCAGAGGTCAGCGCCCTTCTGCTTCTCTCGCGCGGTTAAGTCGGTGAAGATGGCGATGTGTGCGGCGCTCCGGTGCGTTTCGGCAGCATTGCCCCTGCTCACGAGACCCGCACCTATCTGGACGTGCCAAAATTCGCTGAGACCAAACATTTTAAGGACGCTTTACACGAGCTCACGGCTTTCGGGAGGTAAAAACTTTGCTGAACTCCACGGCTGCTATGTTTTACATCTCGCGTTTAGCTTCGCCGCAAGAACTGCAGCCATTCCTGTTTGCGTTTGGGTCTTTTTAAAGGCTTTAATCTTCTGAATGCCAAGGTTTGCTTATCACCTGAATGTTGTTTTGGGCTTTAACGTTTGTTACATTGTAACTTCAGTTCGTTTGTTGCGTCGTGAAGTTTCCAGTACGTTCCATATTTATTCGCTGAAAGTTACTTGGCGGTTTAATTGGCTGCTTTATTTTTTGGAACTATTACATATTTTTATGTATGTGAAGTTTAAAGAGCGCACTATTCTTTGACTGGTCAGTGTAGTTTTTGCTGAAGCTTTCATCGGGTCAAACTCGCCACGCTTGACTAATTTTCTCAGTTGGGTATTATCATGTGGCTTTATTTCGAGATCTTGAATGAAAGCTAATTAAAGTTAAGACTGTGCTGCAGATCGTGTCTCTCAGGTTTGACCAGAGGCCCCAGACTCTACCCATTATCTCACTCAAATCTGTCATTCATTAGATCTAGATCCATATAGTGTCACCTTCATTATGTTCCCAGTGTTGCCAACTGATTTTCAGGGGAAGTTGCTAAAGGAAGGTCGAAAATGGTCAAATCTCAGCAAAAACATTATTTTATATACAGTATGTTAATTCAGATTTGTTCGTAGCAATATAAATGCATAATATAATATTAAAATATAAATAACTATTTTTAAATACATTGAATTATCGAAAACATACACATTTTTGTACGATTACAATTAAAAATATATATATATATTAGCTAGTAAACAAGTAAAACTACACATTCTGAACAATTATACTTTAAAGCAGTGTATTAGTAGTTAGTGTGCTACACTCTAAGAAAAGTCTGTAAAAAATAGTGCACGATCTACTGTTAATATGAAGGAATTTTTGAGTATGGATTTTTCCACAGGTTTTTTATTTTTACCTGCATTTTAAATTGCGCATTGTATTTTGTGTTTTCGGGCTACAGGGTTACAACGGATAATGGAGAATGTCCTGGAAAGTTACTAGCACCTTTCCCATTTTTCTAGATATTTTTCTTACAGTGTACTAACTGATCAACAATCGCATGTACAACTACAAGCTACTAACAAGGTGTATCAGAAATGAACTATTATCAAATTGAACAACTGCAAATAGCAATAACTTAATTCATGTGATGTGTGTTCTGCTAGGAATCTTTGGTTTCCTCTTTTTGTGAAATTTGGATGGAAAATGTGTGCCTTTTTATCGTTTGAGTCACTTGTCAAAAGTAGCCAAATAAAATGTAAAAATAGCAAAATTTGTTGCTAGGTGCTTTTGGAAAAAAAAAGTTGCTAGGGTAGTCTGAAAAGTTGCTAAATTTAGCGACAAAATCGCTAAGTTGGCAACACTGAGGAAGGTTGTGATGTCATTGCGCGACGACGTCATTACGTAATCACGACGCAAAATTGTCAAATCTCAGCAAAAACATATTTTATATACAGTATGTTAATTCAGATTTGTTCATAGCAATATAAATGCATAATATTAAAATATAAATAACAATTTTTAAATGCATTGAATTATCGAAAACGTACACATTTTTGAACGATTACAACTTAAGTTTTATACTTTAAAGCAGTTTATTAGTAGCTAGTTAGTATGCTGCACTCTAAGAAAAGTACAAAAATAATGCACAATCTACTGTGTTAATATGAAGGGATTTTCTGGATTGATTTTTCCACAGGTTTTTGTACCTGCGTGCATTTTTAATTACGCATTGTATTTTGTGTTTTCGGGTTACAACGGATAATGTCCTGGAAAATTACTAGCACCTTTTCCATTTTTCTGCATATTTTTCTTACAGTGTACTAACTCCTCAACAATCGCAGGTACAAGGTGCTAACAAAGTGTCTCGATGAATGAAATGAAAAATAACAGTATTCAATTATTGTTACTATTACACAATTGCAAATAGCAGCTAACTTAATTCCTGTAACGTGTGTACTGCTAGGCTTCTTTGGTTTCATCTTTTTGTGTAATTGAAATGGTAAATTGTGCCTTTTTATCGTTTGAGTCACTTACCAAAAGTTGCTAAAAGCTGCCAAATACATTTTTAAAAATAGCTACATTTGTTGCTAGGTGCTTTTGGAAGAAAAAGTTGCTAGGGTAGTCTGAAAAGTAATCTAAAATAACAGGAGTGTCTTGCATAAAGCCCATCGTGCTTCAGCATTCAGCCCTGCTCACAATCTGGTTTAAACCTGTATTGTTTCTGCATGGGCTGATGCTAGAATCCGAGTCAGTTGAGGACTGCCCCTCTAGCAGTCCCTCAGTTGGTGTTCATCGGTCTCTCCTGAGAACTATGGCGTTAATATGTGATTTCTATACAATTATGAACAGTCTATGGTTTTCTTTCTGGGTCAGGTCTTACCTCAGGATGCCTCCACTTCCCTTGCACATTTTAATCATACTTGCATTTTTGATTTGAATCACTTGTTTCATTGTGTGAATCTGATTTTGTGTGTTTTATTGTACAGAAACCCACAAATGGGTGTTTGAGAAACCTGTTTGAAAGCCGGTTGTTATTTTGCAATTGTCTTGCACAGAAAGGGCACCGCTCAGCATGCCTTAACCTGCACTTTTACAGCTTCTTCCACCCTCAGTAGCTGCATCGTGTTTACTACAGTGATTTAATAGAGAGTTTTGAAATTAGAATAATTCAGAAAAGCTGTTGGAGGGAAATGGACAGACTGACCTGGAAGTAATTAATGCATGATTAACCTTATGGAGTTTGGACCTGTTTGAAAGCCGGTTGTTATTTTACAATTGTCTGACACAGAAAGGGCAACCGCTCAGCATGCCTTAACCTGAACTTTTACAGCTTCTTCCACCCTCAGTGGCTGCATCGTGTTTACTACAGTGATTTAATAGAGAGTTTTGAAATTAGAATAATTCAGAAAAGCTGTTGGAGGGAAATGGACAGACTGACCTGGAAGTAATTAATGCATGATTAACCTTATGGAGTTTGAATGGTCGGACTACCATCAGCTGAAAAGTTAATGTTTATGCAAAATGAAATGACTTCAGAGAAAAGTGTCACGTTTAAAAGAATGTTTTTTTCCAAACCTAAATAGTGCCCAAATTGGCCAAACAGTGATTCTCTTGTCATTCCAAACCCTGAAGTGTTTTTATTTTTTTTGAAGAATATCCTGGTCATTTTTTCCCCCCATTTAATTGCTGTGAACAAAAAATGAAGTAGCCTACATAGCGCACAAGTCATGGAGTGCTAGTATACAGTATGTCAAGTCTTCAAGGCTTTAAAGAATTGTAAGTTATTTGCTGGAACGTTTGAAAGCCCTATTCTTTGTAATTGTAGGAAAAGAATGACCAGTACATAATTCAGTATTTCCTATGTGTTTCCTTTTCTGTTCCACTTAAAAAAAAATATAGAATAAATGTTCATAACGTGAGAGCAATGTAGTTATTTTTAACTAAAATGAAAACAACTAAAAATAGTTGTATAGTTCAGTTGGTAACTGAAGTGAAGTTAAATATGAATATTAAATAAACTTACATTTAAATAAAATAAAATTGGCTTGGGAACTAACTGAAATGTTGAAATTTCTAAAACTGAAATAAGAATAAATTAAAACTATATAGGAATGTTAAAAAAACCAATAAAACGTCACCAAGCACAAATTAAAATTAAATATTAACAATAAACTAACAATAAACTTGTTCAAAATATTAATATTATGATTGTGTATATACTAAAATAACAGTGTGATTAACTAATTTATAGCACCATTTTTTTGGGGGGGGGATTACTTTAACCAATGGTTCTGCTTTTCCTGATCTTATTATTATTGAAATTCTTGTGTTTTTCCAGCTCTGAAGTTTACAGACAAACACGAGTGGGTACGAGTGGATGGGACTGTGGGCACGGTTGGCATCAGCAACTTTGCTCAGGTTTGCTCCTCTCTATAAAAAATAAGTGTTTTTAGATGGTGTCAATTCAGTTTCAAATAATAAAACGTCACCAAGCACAAATTAAAATTAAATATTAACAATAAACTAACAATAAGCTTGTTCAAAATATTAATATTATGATTGTGTATATACTAAAATAACAGTGTGATTGACTAATTTATAGCACGATTTTTTGGGGGGGGGATTACTTTAACCAATGGTTCTGCTTTTCCTGATCTTATTATTATTGAAATTCTCGTGTTTTTCCAGCTCTGAAGTTTACAGACAAACACGAGTGGGTACGAGTGGATGGGACTGTGGGCACGGTTGGCATCAGCAACTTTGCTCAGGTTTGCTCCTCTCTATAAAAAATAAGTGTTTTTAGATGGTGTCAATTCAGTTTCAAATGTTTTATTATTGTTTTTATACTTTTTACTACTTATTCTGTGATGGGGGAAAAAAACTGAATTCTGAGGGGGGAAAGTCTGAATTGTGAGAGATGTAAATTCAGAATTGCAAGAGAAAGTCACATTTCTGAGTTTGTCTCACAATTCTTTAAAGGGGTCATATGATGCGATTTTTTTGACTTTTATAAAAGTTAAAGGGGTCATATGATGTTGCTAAAAAGAACATTGCTTTGTGTATTTGGTGTAATGAAATGTGTTTATGCGGTTTAAGGTTAAAAAACACATTATTTTCCACATACTGTACATTATTGTTTCTCCTCTATGCCCCGCCTTTCTGAAACACGTCGATTTTTACAAAGCTCATCAGTCTGAAAAGTGAGGTGTGCTCTGATTGGCCAGCTATCCAGTGCGTCATGATTGGCCAAATACCTCAAGCATGTGACGGAAATGTTACGCCCTTTACCATACTGTGATGCCTTGTCAGGCCGGAGCGTAACATAAAACCATGTCTGCATTTGTGATCGGAGAAATGACAAACAACAAGCGCTACTCTACACTGCTCAAAACTCGCGTTTGAATCATCAGTGGCAAATCCTTTAAATATAAAAAACTTACTTGCAGTCTTTGAGTCAGAACAGCCGGCATTGTAGTCTACTCTCCCAGGATCAGGAAACAGTCCTCCATAAAATGTGCTGCACACATCTGAATATTTGGGTTGAAGTGTTCTGTAACAGTGTTGTAAATACAACTTAACCACTGATTTCTAGTCGTGTCCTCTTTTGGAAGACCAAA